TGATATACTGGATACACATCTTCACAATCCTGAAAGATGTGTATCCTATTGCAATTTATGAAATAGGGGACACATTTTATATAAATATTTCCGCCGCTGGTAATAGTTTTTTCAAAATAAACACATCATATGGTGTGAAATCTACTTTAGCTTTGAAACAAAGTTTCACTGATTGGGAAATAAATAACGAAGGAAACATCGGATGTTTTCTAATGCACAGATTAGACAAACCCTGTTAAAAAAGAAATTACATCAAAACAAAATAGAATATCTTTCTTAGTTACAGTCTATTATAGGAGAAACGAGGGTGTATCGTTCAATCATCGTGAAAGCTTCTACTTGGAGTGAGAGTAATTCTTACATTGAGCTGGACGGTAATAAGTGAAATTACGCTTTTATTCCTAGCCTGAAGAGAAATTTCACATCAATTTGAGCTACCGTTACAGACTATGAAACTCCAGTGCTGAATATAAGCCTCCCTAATAGATTGACTCACAGGGGTACATTTGCTATAGTTGCCACGTTGGGCAACCGTAATTTTTTATTTTTAGTCGTTATTAGGAAGAAGCTGCTGCCCATCTCCTGATTTGTTTCCCTCTGTCGCCTGTTACGACATCCACGGAATGATACGGGGCAGTGGATATTCTTACACCGTCACTACACGTTTATAAATTTCAGTAATATTCTGCAAATTTGAGATTTTGTTTCATTTTTAATCGAGGCACTTGGCTGAGTGACAGCCAAGTACTGAAAAAAAAATTGCGATGTACCGGCGTTGTGTATTTTTTATACTCACTCATCTATAACTAGGTGTTTTAGAAATTTAAAATTTGGGATTTAAAGTATATTCTATTACAACCTCCAAAACTCCACTGCTGAATATAGAATCTCCCATAGATTGCCTCATAGAGGGTATTTTGCCATAGCTGTCATGCTTGGCAGGCGGTTTGGCATATTTTTGTAATTATTTTGAGTCGTTGTTAGGAAGATGCTGCTGCCCATCTCCTGTTTCAGTTTCTCTTTGTTGCCCACGGGACGATGATATGGAGTAGTGGATAATCTTACACTTCCCAACACGGCTAATTAAGGTGGATTAGGTGCATACAAAGGAAAACTACAAATTGTTTACAATCGTTGATAATTAAAAGAAAAATAAACTGAATTAAAAACGTTGAAGTTACCTAAAACTTATCAATAATTAATGATATCTTAGCTCGGCAAATCCCGAACGATCGCATGCGACCGCACCCACCCACAGCACTTAAAACCATTAAAGTTTATATTTAGAGACTACTTTTCTATGAAAAAGAAGTTATATTACGTTATTAAGTTATAGACTACTTTTCTATGAAGAAGAAAAAGTTTTGTATTATAAAATCTATACAAAATTCTCTATCCAGTGGTCTAAACAAAAGTCAATTTTTAATTAATTACAAAAAGATTTTATGTGCGAATGTTGGCAGTTGAAAATCAGAATTATTTCAATATATATTACTCAAATTTATTTACGTAAAAAGATAAAGAATATTCGCACAAAAACTTTCATTACAATTTTTATAATAAAACACTATACTAAAACACTAATAAAACACTAGAAATATCCAAAAATCAACACAATAACATTCACGCGAAAATGGCGTACGAAATGAACGTAGGTTATAAATAAATATACAAAAATAACAGTTTTTTTATTGCACTAGAGGATAGAAAATTTAATATTGATTATATAATGCCAAACTTCTTCATAGAAAAGTGATCTCTATATATAAGTTAGTATGGGTTAAATTGCTGTGGGTGGGTGCGACCTCATGAGACCTTGAAAGACGACTAATTTATTGCAAAAATGTTGTGAGGTTATGTTTTTTCACGTGGTAGAGTCATGCTGCAGCTATATTATGGTTGCAGCACGAATGGTTCAGCTCGACCGGGGAAGTACCACGCTCTCACAGAATACGAACTCAAAATAGCAGCGCAATGCTGTTGTGTTTGGTATCCTGAGTGTAGAAAACCCAAGACACTTTTTACTGGAAAGGAGGCATTTGATCTTAGTCCTCAGGGCAACGTAACAGCATTTTGATTCTTAATCGGGGATAGATGTAAATGTTTATGGGCTACAGCATCCACTTACCACCAGGTGGACTGTGTGTTCGTTTGTTACCCTAATTATAATTTAAAAAAAATCATACGAACAGGAGAATGTTTATTTACGGAACCCGAAAAATTGAAAAAAATGTTACTAAGTTGAACAAAACTGTATACAAGGGGTACCTTTACATCTTAAGAACATTTCGATTAGAGATTATCGATAACGTCAATCTCTACAAAAGTGCGGTTAAATTTTGCAGAATTACACGTATTTGTAATTGTTTTAAATTCCGTTGCTTTTTTTCAGATCCTTATTATTATAAATACGATAATGTTTTCTATCCATTTAAGTACAAATTGCTTGTACCTGCTCTAAAATACAGCATTTAGACAGCTAAACATTTCAATCGTACCTACGGGTTAATTGTTAAATAATTTGGAATTTCTTTCTAAGGTGAGTTATATTTAAGTACTACACACCTAGATATGATTAATTACGTTTTATTTCAAAACTAAGGTTTTGCCAATAAGAGCAGGAGTTGTTATGTTTACAAATGACTGAATTAATAATCTACATATAAACAGCAAGAAAACTAAATGTACTAAATTTAAGACAATGAATGTTAAAAATCTGAATATTCGTACCAATGTGTTTTTAAATGGGGAAGGACTGAGTCCTGTTGAATTCTCTGTTTTTCTTGGCATCACTCTCGACGCTAAGCTTTAGTGGGGCCCTCATATATCTATACTAGCAAGTAGACTAAGCTTTGCAGCTGGCTGTAAAAAAATGAGATCTCACATGTGTCGAGACAGCTAGATTAATTTATTTCAGTTATTTACATAGCACAATGGCGTATGAGACTTTGGTGTGGGGAAATGCGGCTGATTAAGAAACTTTTTTTTTGAATTGTGCCATAAGAGCTATTTACAACCTAAAACCGAGAGTCTCTTAAAGAAAAATTTTGAAAAATAAATATATTAACTAAGGCCTCTCAGTATATTCACGAAAATTTAATGTATGTTCACAAAAACAAAGGTAGTTTCAGTAAAAAAAAAGTGATATACGCTCTATAAACACTAGAAACATACACACGCTGATACCAGATTCTCGACTCCACAGAGTCAGTATCTTGGGGCAATGAATACACTATTATAAAAAAGAATATTTTTATTATTGTAAGTGATATTATTGTGCCAAAAAATTCAAAAGGTGCTTCGAATCGGCTTAAAGCGGGTCAACTGTTCCAAGCTAACGAAGAATACAAAACTATATCCATTTTTTATGAGTTGACTTCATTTATTTCTTGACTTCAAAAACGACATTTTTTATAGGATAGGATGATAAACGAGCACACAATCCACATGATGGTAAGTGGTTGCTGTGGCCCATAGAAATCTACATAAATCCTCAATTACGAATCAAAATGCAGATGCGTTGTCATACGTGAGAACTTAGGTGGAATGCCTCGTTTCCAGTAAAAAGGGTCTCCAGTTCTCTACACTCACCATATGAAACACAGCAGCATTAAGCTACTATTTTACGCTGGTATTCTGTGAGAGCATGGTCCGTCCCCGGTCGAGCCGACCCATTCTTGCTACAACTATACTACTAATATAACTGCAGCATGGCTCTACCACGTAAAAAAAACTTTATGAATACGTATACAGAGTTATATTGTGATTGCTTTGGATACATTTGATTTGTCTTTTTTCAAACACAAGGTGTTTTTTGGACGCTTTTAGCGTAATCTCTATGAATAAATATTTAAATACCTACATGTTGCAAAGACAAAGATGAAGAATCTTGTCGTAATTGTCAGAAACAGACATAATTGGAAGTAGTTTGATTATCATAAAAATGCAATATTGTTCAATCTTTAAATTTTAAAAATGTAGAAGGTACAACATTGTGTTACTAACGTCAATTCTAAATGTATGCTAGTTTTTTAAGTAGTTTATGTTTAGTCTTACGCTTAAACTAAAATATATTTTAGAAAAGAAGTCCCGCGAAAATAAAGTATGGAATTTCTACAGTAAAATATCAAAATTGGCGAAAACTGTAGCAACGCGGTTAAGGGACTTTTTTAGTTAGGTATGTTCTTAAACTATGATTTAATCGCAAAACTATCAAAAAGCCATGGTTCTTTTGACTGCCTCGATGGTCTAGTGGACGTAAACGCGATTGCCGATCGTGAGGTCCCGGGTTTGAATTCCGAGTCGGGTAAAAATTAGCTCTTGAGGTTTTCTGTCAAGAAATTTTCAGTACCAGCCCGGAGCGAGAAATTCGATGGTGTTTCTCGAGCCCCATATAACATTATAAACCGTGTTTTGTAATAAGGCGGTAAATGCACAATAATCAAACTTTTAAAAAGAAGTAAACGACATACATAGCTAAAAAGAACAAAACAATTTCCGCGTAAGGATTAAAGTCTGACTTCAGAAGCTGTAATGTAGAAATTCTTTTATTAATTTAATATAAACACGGATTGAACGTCATTCGAATCCCAAATTAAATGAAAGCATTTATAAATGTCACAAAATTAATGAATACATATATGTAAATTTATGAACATTATAACATTAATGAATACTATAATTTTTAAATGAATATAACTGTAAAAAGACCCTCAAAATTAAGTTTATGTCAAACTGTGGCTAATCATACAATAATTGTATGATTAAATAAATAATTTACGATTATCCCATAGAGAAAAGATATTTATTCGCCCGATAATTTTTGAATAAATTTTTAAGTATGTTTATTTCTTAATTACAAAAAATAAAAATATATCGGCTGAATAAAAATAAATAAATCATACAATAAACCGATCCGAAAAGTAATGATCCGATTATCGTATGAATAGATTCTTCCTTTAGTACGTGTAATTACGTGTGTTAATGTTAATATTGCTTACCGCGATCAGAATTTTGTGCGACATCTCTGCTGTTGTGAATCGATAAATAAAAAAACAATTTGACCAGTGTAACGTGCACAGTGCTCCGTGGACAATCTCAGTTTGACGCTCGGACCGGTCCCGGCAGCTTTTTGCTTAATTTCATCCGCTGGACCTACTAACTGTTCCAAACTTCCAACGCAAATTCCGACTGTGCAGTGGGAGTTGAAAAATGAACGAAAACGTAGTCTAGCCAACGGAATTAAAAATATGCTGCAGAGAAATACAGAATGTTCCTTGATTAATGTGTTTTACAAATATTACGCAAAACTTCTTAAATTTGCGTATTTTTAGCGTAAAAACTAATAAATAATAATTATAAAATAATTATTTGTTTTAATCACAATGGCTCAAATGACAGCGTATTAAATAAACTAAACACTTGCACTTAAAGATTGGCCATTGTGAGAGAGCTGAACCTGTACCGAGATGTATTACAGTGTTGCGACCCCCAAACTACTATAAGTTTTTTGTCTAACATCATCATCTTCAGCCTATGATGTCCCACCACTGAGCAGTCTTCTTTGTATGCAGCCTTTCCAGTCGTTGTTTTCCGTTTTCTCCGACTTTTCCAGTGGTTTAGTCGCAAACAGTTGTTAGTAGCGACTTTAGATTTCCCATATTTTCAAATAGCAGCAGGTCAATCGGCATTTGTCTAAAAATACAAGCAATAATTTATAATAACAAGCTTGATGGTTGAAACAGTAATTTAAACTTCCAACTGCGTAAAACGTCCGCTTAAAAGAGCAAACTTCAAATATTATACCGAAGTATATCACTTAAACAACTAAGACGAGCCTAAATACAAATACATTCTATAATATGTTAGAATTCATCAAGCATTAACTTAAAGAGAGTTTTAAAGAAATAGACATGCAATACATATTTGCGAATAAACATTACTCTCCTTTTGGCGCAGTCGTGTAAAAATAAGTCTCGCGTGTATTATATGTTCAAAATTTTAAAATATTTTGTATTGTTTACAACATTTTTATTACTGGAGAGTTGTCAGATACGTGCGGCTTTATAATATTAAATAACTTGCACTCACCTATGCTAGTAACCTTTACTGAACTATTTCTGGTAGAATTTCAAGTATAGTTTTTGCATCGCGCACCTTTATTGCAGTCCAGTCTCAGATTTCCTCCCTATAACAATCTTATTTTATTTTTAAACAGTACTTTAATATGTATCAACAACACTAGTGCAATACGATCACTATCGACTTTCAAATATTACGAGTACAATTATTTTTTACTCGACTTAAAATCGACAAATAGTCGAGTTACCATAGTAAGAAACCAAGGATGTGAAAGCTGAAAGTGTAAATTACTTTTTATATTATATCTTATAAAGAGTTATCGCTATGGATTTTTTGTTTTTTTTTCAAAATGATACAGTAACAGATCGAGTAAGCTGTTTATGTGTTTGAAAAGTTTTTTGTATTAAAACTGCATACATCACAATTGTCATAATCATACATTCATTAGCATAGCACAAATAATAACGTTATTTATAATTCGTTAAAGTGGTACTCAAAGTGTCCAATGTATTGAAACGTACGCATTGAGTAATGCCATGCCATATATAATTTTACTGTACGAGTAGAAAGTATATTTTATTTGTGGGTTAAAACTAGTTCTATAGTGTTACGCTTTTAAGGAAATAGTAAAAACATAAGCATGTGCCGGCAATTTTATCTCTACTAACTGATGCAATAACATATCAGGTGTGGCGGGTAGTGAGGGGCAGGGTGCGGCGCCAATCCCTCGCGCTTTACGGTAACAATTTTCGACATAAATTGGTTAGGATCCTGCCGAATAATGTTCGACCGAATATTCGGTTCGGTGAATGAATACTCGGCCCATTTTTAATCGTAATTATTACAACCCATCACAACTCCAATGCTACACATAGGCTTCCCCCGAGGAATGCATCCTTCGACATTTGTTATCAGATCGTCACTCCTACAGTACGGGTCGTCCTACACTTCGCTTACCCGTATGAGGCTGCCGCTCGAGAACCTTTCTTCCCCATCGGTTGTCGGTTATAAGAGCTATGTGTCACAAATATTTATGTATTGGTAATTTTTTATTGTAATTAATTTTGCAAACACATTTTTTATACACGTGAAGTTAAAAGTAAAGTAAAGTTACAGCTTATATACGTCCCACCGACGTCCCACCCAGCAAGCACAGGCCTCCCCTCATTTCTGAGAGGGTTTTAGGATAAGGAAGTGTCCGCCGCGCAGCCTCAAAGCGTGTTGGCGAACTACACATGTCTTCGAAATATTTTTTTTATTCTTCAGACATGCAGGTTTCCTCACGATTTTTTCCTTCACCGCCGAGCACGTGGTAAATCAGCACTTAAAATTGCAATGAACAATTTCATTGGTGCCGGAGGGGATCGAACCCGGGTTACTCGCGTTCTGTTATATTTTCAGCGAGCGTTAACCATCTGAGCTACCACGGCTCTTGACTTATGAATGACCTAAATATAAGTCGTTACGTTTTCATCGATACGTTCGGTAGGCTTAATAGTGCGCAGCACTATTAATTGCGTACTTGAACTTGACCGCTGACTTCTTGAAAAATTTATGATAAGTTTTGATATCAGACTACGAATGTTTTTGTACCCTTTGTTTTTAAATTAATTTTTTTTTGCTTACTGGTAAGAATTTAAGTCGAAGCCGACATTGAAGCAAAAACAGACTTTGTTCATTTTGGTTTTGATGGTCTAATTGTGTATCAAGTATTTACTTGCCTTCCACCTTATCGCCTAAGACAGATAGCTCGGTGTCGCAGTGGCTTGTTGCTTTGTTGCGGCACTGTGGGACGCGGGTTCTCATCCCGTACGGAACAAGTGTTAGCGTGGCCTGAAATTATATAATATTATAAATAATTGTTCCGAATCTGGATGTTTGTTCATTCAATTTACTCTAATGAAAATATTGTAAGTATTTTAAAAATAAAAGAGTGTCAATCTGGCACGGGTTGAATATTACGAGGATATCTCTATACATACGTTTACTTGTAGCGAAGTACGGTGGCCTACCGGTAGGGCATTTAAAGGAATTTAAGGGTCGTGGCTTCGAATCTGCCATTCAACTGCTATCCTGAACAATTCCTAACAAGCATTTTAAGCTTGATTGGGGACTTAACGGGAATATTAGCAATGATAATACCATTGCTACCATTTATAAAATAACTCCTACGCTTCCATTTATCTACTAATAAGTCAATGTACACTTCCTATAGATTCTGAAATTGACTTTATGGTCGAAAATTGGATAGGAGAACATCAAGACTGGCGAGCAAAACATTTAGTTTTACTAAAATCTGAAGAACTTAGATAACCAAAACTTTTTTTAACTACTCTAAGTCAGTAATTGATTAATATCCTACATAATGGTTAGTCGCGACGCCGAAAACGGTAAAGGGCACTGTCCGACTGACTTTGTTTACGTTGCATAGCCACACTGAAACTATGTTTTATGGATCGAATGGGCTCGAATCGACTCAAGAAAGACCATGCTTTCACAGAACACCAGCTTAAAATAGCGCAAAGCTTACACTCACCATAAGAAATTACCTAATTCTTATGGTGAGTGTAGAGAACCGGAGACCCTTTATACTGAAAACAAGGTATTCCATCGTGGTTCTCAGGGGTGATAACGCATCTGTATTTTGATTCTTAATCGAGGATGGATGTGGATGTCTATGGAGCGCAGCATCCACTTACCAACAGGAGGACTGTGTGCTCGTTTGTCACTCCACACCACACTTATTCTGTAAAGAAAAGTTAGTTGAATTAATTTGAACTATTATTCCTGCAATTAGATTAATCTTTATTGTTTTGCCTGCATTACGTTTATTATATTTATTAGATGAACTTAATAATCACTTTAAAATTAATTACTTTAAATTATATTGAACATCAATTATATTGAAGTTATGAATTTTCAGATTATTAGTAATATTGAATTTGATTCATATATAATTTAATATAATAAAAATATTCCTGAAAATTTTCATTTATTAGATGTTGATAATCGAATTATTTTACCTATAAACAATCAAATTCGATGTATAGTAACTGCTACTGACGTAATTCATTCGTGAACTATTCCATCTCTGGGAGTAAAAGTAGATGCTAATGCTGGTCGACTAAATCAAACCAGATTTTTCATTAATCGTCCAGAGTCCTAATAATTAAATGAAACTAATTTTATGTGTAATATTCTGGAAATATAAGAATTTCACTCTTAATTTGAAGACATCCACGTTGTAGCCGGATAGAAAGACAGATATTATTCCTCAGCTATAAGTACGCATTACAAACGACGAAGTAAACCGTTGGGTTGGAATGCGTGGTATGTAGACAATAATAGGGTTGAGACCAGTCGAGCATGTGGTTGTCCGATGATGGAACGGTAAGAAAGAAATTAAGTCTTATAATTTCTGCGCACATTCTTCAAAATGTATTGCGTAATTTCAAATAAAAACGAATATTTGTTGTGTCTGCGTTTGCTACAATGTGACTGTTAAATGAAACTTTTTTTTTACAGATTTTATCACCTTCAATTTTCTTATTTTTAATTCCCGACGTTTAGAGTGCCTTACAAAACCAATGGAAACGGGAGATATTACACACATAATTGAGATGTTTGACGTCCTCGACTACCTTCAGTTTTTGAATATATAGGTACAATCATTGAGGTATTACTACTACGTAAGTAAGTAAATATAGTTCGATGGGTAAAATATAACTGATCTACCTGCTTAGTTAGCTAATTATGAACCAATTGACCGGGGTAGGACCACATTGTCACAGAATACCAGCGTGAAATAGCAGCTTAATGTTTTGTATGGTGAGTGTAGAGATCTTAGTCCTCAGGGTTTGAACAATGCATCTGTAATCGAGAATAAATTTAGTATCTATGGGCCTCAACACCTTCTTTCCATCAGGTGGACGCTCGGTGTGCT